TCTTAAAATATTTTCATAATATAGTTTAATCATGTTAAGTAGTTAAGTATATCGACATTGGTATATGACATATATCTCTAGTACATTTTTATCATGCAAAACTAAAATTCAGTATCCGTGAAGCAACTACCTATTTTTCCCATTGTCTGGTCCTTTACAAACACTATTCTGTCATTCTTTTGTTTCTAAAAATGTAACTACTTTACATGTTTTATATAAGTGGATTTATGAAGTATCTGTGTTTGAGGACTGGCTTATTTCATTTTAATTATAATGTCAGAATTTATTGTAGATGTTAGAAGATGTCCTGCTTTTTAAAAGGTGAATGATAATCCATTATATTTATATCCCAAATTATATTTCTCCATTCATATTGTTGACACAAGTTTTTGTTGTTTGCACATATTGGTTTTTGTGAATAATGCTGCAGTATATACAGATGTGCAAATGACTCTTCATTTGACCACATATGTGAGGGTTTTTAAGATTGTTTGGCTCTTCATGGTGCTTTGGTATTCCATATGAGTTTTGAGTTGATTTTTCTTTTTCTTTTTTTTTTTTTTTTTTGAGACAGAGTCTCACTGTGTTGCCCAGGCTAGAGTGCCGTGGCGTCATCTTAGCTCACAGCAACCTCAAACTCCTGGGCTCAAGGGATTCTCCTGCCTCAGCCACCCGAGTAGCTGGGACTATAGGCATGTGCCACCATGCCCGGCTAATTTTTTCTATATATTTTTAGTTGTCCAATTAATTTCTTTCTATTTTTAGTAGAGACGGGGTCTCGCTCTTGCTCAGGCTGGTTTCGAACTCCTGAGCTCAAACGATCCGCCCGCCTCGGCCTCCCAGAGAGGTAGGATTACAAGTGTGAGCCACCGCGCCCAGCCAGAGTTCCTTTTTCTTTTTTTGCAAAATATGACACCAAGAATTTTAAAGAGATTGTGTTGAATTTGTAGATCATTTTGGGCAGGATGGACATCTTCACAATATTAAGTCTTCCAACCCATGAACAAGAGCATGCTCGAGTTTGTCATTTAATTTCTATTTATTTGTGAATTTTCTGTTTCTCCTTTTGTTATTGATTTCTAGATTCATTCTATTTTTGTCTTAAATAATAGTGCATAAGATTTTAATTTTTAAAAATTTGTAAAGAATTGTGCATTAATAGGTGTTCTGTCTAGGAGAATGTTTTATGAGCTGTTGAGAAGATTGTGTATTCTGCTTTTGTGGAGAGTTCTCTATGTGTCTGTTAGGAATAATTGTTTTATCGTGCTTTCAGTTTGCCTATTTCCTTATTAATATTGTATCTTGCAGGATTATTCATTACTAAAAGTGGGATTGTGAAGTATCCTACCATTATTATATTGCTATGTATTTCTTCAATTCTGTCAATGTTTGCTTTATATATTTTGCAACCCTCATTTTACTCACACGTGTGTATATATATATATATAATCATAGGTTCCCAGGGAAGGAACAATTTTATTATTATTTAATATCTGTTTTTGTCTTTTGTGATAGTTTTGACGTAAGGTATATTTTCTGAAATAAGACAAGTTTTGTCCTGAAATATATTGTGCCTAACTGTGGCCTCCCCTGCTCTCATTTGATTGACATTTGCATGGGCTGTCTTTCTGTGCTGCCACTTTCAATCCTCTTTTGTCATTGGATCCAAGGTTAGTCTCCTGTAGACAGTATAGAGTTGAATCTTGGTTTTTATTTACATAAATCCCTATCTTTGTTTAATTTATGTCTTTGGATTGTTAAGTGTCGTCCGTGAATATTTACATAATTTTCTGAAAGGGAAGGACTTAACTATTACCATTTATCAATTGCTTTTTTTATTCTCATAGCTGTTTTACACCTCTTTTCCTCTCTTTTTGTCATCATTGTGTCTCTTTGATTTTTGTAGTGACATGCTGTGACTTCTTTTTTATTATTTTAGTGTCTGTAGGTATTTTCATTGTAGTTTCCATGGCAATTACACAATACTTGTTATAGTTACAACAATATATTTTAAACTGGTAACAACTTAACTTTGGTGGTGTATAAAAATACTCCCTAATTACATGTGTCCTTAACTTTGTTATTGACATAACCAATGATATGTTGTTATATTGCATATCCATTAACAGAGGTTTAGTATTAATTTTCTGGGTTTTTTTCTTCATTTTATAGAGCATGATTAAGAATGTTTTCTGCACCATCATTATAATACTACTGAATTTTATTCAAGTGTTCCTACATATCCTTCCCAAGAGTTATTTATTAATATTTTCATATGATTTGTGTTGTTTTCTATAATCTTTTTACTTAATATTTTCTTTCTTTCTTTTTTTTTTTTTGAAACAGTGTCTCACTTTGTAGCCTGGGCTATAGTGCCGTGGCGTCAGCCTAGCTCACAGCAACCTCAAACTCCTGGGCTCAAGTGATCCTTCTGCCTCATCCTCCCAAGTAGCTGGGACTATAGGCATGCACCACCATGCCCGTCTAATTTTTTCTGTATATTTTTCGTTGTCCAGCTAATTTCTTTCTATTTTTAGTAGAGATGGGGTCTTGCTCTTGCTCAGGCTGGTCTTGAACTCCTGAGCTCAAACGATCCGCCCGCCTCGGCTTCCCAGAGTGCTAGGATTACAGGCATGAGCCACCGCGCCCAGCCTTTACTTAATATTTTCAATAAAAAGGGCCCCCTTTGGCATTTCTTCTTGGGCAGGTCTATTGGTGATAAACTTTTTCAGTGTGTGGATATCCTGATAAGCCTTAATTTTTTTTTATTCAGAAGGACAGTTTTTCTGGATAATAGTATTTATGCTTTGAAGTTTTTGTTCTTTTAGTACATTTAACATCACTATTCTCTTGTGGCTTTCAAGATTCTCTTCCTGTGTGACTTTCAAAACTTTGCTTGCAATCTGTCTTGTTACAGGTCCCTTTATGTTTATTCTAGATGAAATATGTTGAGCTTCTTGATTTTATAATATTGTCTCTTTTTTCTTATGTTTGAGAATTTCTCAGTCATTTCTTGTGGTATTCTTCAGCTAAACATTTTTCTTTCTTTGCTTTCATTTTTTGTTGATATTCCTGATTTTGTTACGTTGTCAGTTTGTTCCCATTTCACTCATTGAGCATCATTCAGATTCTTATTTTTCATTTTTCCAGGGAATTTATACATGTCCATTCCTTTATACTCTGATGTTTTGTATATGTTATAATCTTTGGTTGAGATTTGAGGATTAGCAAAATGCCACCTTTCACAAACTTTATCAAGTGTTTGTTTGCTGAGAGGATTCAGACACTACTTAGCTTTCCTAGAGATTCAAGGGGCCTCTAATATGTTCTGATGATGTTTCTTGTGTGGAATTGTATGTTTATTTTTCAATTAAGGCAATTTTCCTTCATTTCCTTCTTAAGAGCCTGTCATCATTTGCTATACTTGCTATGTGTCCATGGTACTGAAGTATCTCTGCTGCTGTAACAATCTTTTATGTTTGGTTTCAGCACATCCAGTCTGTCTTTCAAACTATAGCATCATTCCTTTCAGCACTCTGTGTTATGGGAGACAGCACTGTTTGGAACGACCCCCAAAAGCCAGAAAGATGGACACAGTTGTCACTATTTTCTTTCTCTTTTGAGGGAGAAGCTGGGAGTTGGGAGTTTACTTCTGTATGCACCATGCTGTATTAAGAAGAAGGCAAGGCCATGGTCAGTAAGCATAACAAACTTTTATTCCGCTTCCTTGTGGCTCTTCTGATTGTGCTTTCCCGGTGTGCTGAAAACTTTAACTTGCTTTTTAGAATTCCCACAAAGGCAATTTTGGCAGTATGGGTTTGTGGTATTTATTTCTCTAAAAGAGATTTGGAGCCTGTGTAATGTATTATGCCACTTTGGTAATGTGCTTGGTATAATTTTATGTATTAAATTTGTAATGTATATTCATATGATTCTTAAAAAAAAAAAAAAGTGGGATAATTTATTTTTTTTAAATTTCTTTCAGCTTTGTCTTATTGTACCCAAGACCATTTGCCAGAAAAAAACAAAAATGTTTCATTTGAAAAAATGGTATCGAGAACATATGGAAGCTGTGCCCTTGAGAATTTAAAGTTAATGAACTGGGAAAATGTGCGTGGCTATAAGGAGCAGAAAGGGTGTTATGATGGAGTTAACCAATGTTCAACAACTACCCATGGAAAAATCTGCCAATGTAAAAAATATTTGAAAGTCTTTAAAACATTGTCAAATATAAATACACATAAGGTGAGACACACTGTAGAGAAGCCTTTTAAATTTAATGAATGTGAGGAAGGCTTCAAGCAGTGCTCACACATTAATGAACATAAGAGAATTCATAATGGACAGAAACCTTACCAATCTAAAGACTATGGCAAAATCTTTAATCAGTGCTCATACTTTACTAAACGTAATAGACTTCATACTGGAGAGAAACCCTACAAATGTGAAGAATGTGGCAGAGCCTTTAGTTGGTACTCATGTCTTACTGAGCATAAGAGAATTCATACTGGGGAGAAACCTTACAAATGTCAAGAATGTGGCAAGGCCTTTAACCGGTACTCACACCTTACTAATCATAACAGAACTCATACTGGAGAGAAACCCTACAAATGTGAAGAATGTAGAAAAGCCTTTAACACATACGCATGCCTTTCTGTACATAAAAGAATTCATACTGGAGAAAAACCCTACAAATGTGAAGAATGTGGCAACGCTTTTAATTATACTTCAAGCCTTCGTACACATAAGAGAATTCATACTGGAGAGAAACCCTACAAATGTGAAGAATGTGGCAAAACGTTTATCTATAACTCAAGCCTTCATAGACATAACAGAATTCATACTGGAGAAAAACTCTACAAATGTGAAGAATGTGGTAAAGCATTTAAGAAATATGCACACCTTACTGTACATAACAAAATTCATACTGGAGAAAAACCTTACAAATGTGAAGAATGTGGCAAAGCCTTTAAAACATATGCATACCTTTCTGTACATAAAAGAATTCATACTGGAGAGAAACCCTACAAATGTAAAGAATGTGGCAAAGCTTTTAAGTGGTGTTCAGACTTTATTGCACATAAGAGAATTCATACTGGAGAGAAACCGTATAAATGTGAAGAATGTGGCAAAACTTTTAACTGTTCCTCAAGCCTTCGTACACATAAGAGAATTCATACTGGAGAGAAACCATACAAATGTAAAGAATGTGGCAAAGCTTTTAACTGCCGTTCGCACTTTACTATCCACAAGAGAATTCATAGTGGAGAGAAACCCTACAAATGTGAAGAATGTGGTAAAACTTTTAACTATAGCTCAAGCCTTCATAGACATAAGAGAATTCATACTGGAGAGAAACCCTACCAATGTAATGAATGTGGGAAAGCTTTTAACTGTTCTTCACACCTTACTAAACATAAGAGAATTCATATTGAAGAGAAACCATAAAAATGTGAAGAAGGTGGCAAAGCTTTTAATCAGTGCTTATACCTTTCTAAACACAAGATAATGCTTACTGAAATGGAGCCTTACCAATGTGAGTAATGTGGCAAAGCCTATAACCAGTGCTTGAAACCTTAACATGAGAATTCATACCAGAGAGAAACCATACCAACGTGAAGAATGTGGCAAAGCTTTTACCCAGTGCTCTTACCTTGCTGTACATGCGAGAAGTCGTACCTAAGCAAAATCCTACAAATATAAAGAAAGTAGGAAAGCCTTTAGTAACTGCTCAGATATTACTCGACCTCAGAGAGTCATGCTGGGGAACAGCAGTATAAATGTAACAACTATCAAAATACCTTCTAGAAAATAAAAGTGTTAGCATGCATGCACCATGGTATTTATACTGAGAAAGAACATTACAACTATAATGAGAGGTCCAATACTTCTCTGACAGATCTTATTGTGCATAAGATAAATTATACTGGAATGAAACCCTTCACTAATTGCTCAAACCTTTTCAAGTTTAGAGAATTTAGATTAGAGAGAAACTCTACAAATGTAATAAATCAAGAAAAACATTTATTAAAAAAAAACAGAAAACATCAGAGTTTATAGTACAAGATAATTTGCAGATGCCACAGTCTTATGAAATATTTAATAAAAAAATCAACTTTAAATAAACATAGGATTTACAGTAGAAAGAACTAAGGTACTAATACTTTCAGACATTACTCTAAAATGGAGTTTCAATTATAGAGAATAGTCCAAGGTTAAAATGGTTAAATACTTTATATACATGTATGTTTAAAAGGAATCAGATTAATTTTATGGCAAGTTATTACTACATTGAAAGCATACTTTTTGCATTCAAAATTATAGGTACTTTTGAAAATTAAGTATTGATGTAATTCAGCTCTCAGATTACTTGATGCCATGCCTTCATTTTTAGAGTTTCCATGAAAGTATGTGGCCAATTGTTTCTTCATCAAAACTTTGAAAGTTCCGTGTAAATTAGATGGGCATGATTTGTATACTCTTCCAATGAGTATTAACGACACTGAACTGTAAGATGCATGAAGAAAATCTAAGTGAAGAGGCTCTTTGTTACTGACTTACAAGAGTATTGTGAGTCATGTCAGCAGTAGGCGTTTATAGTAATACTCTCCATTATAGTGAGAAACATTTTGTATTTTAGAAGTAAATTGTTTTACCAATTGCGTGTTAAAGTAATAAAATACAGTGGACTTTGAAATGCTTTTTAAGAGTGTGTATGAACTTAATTTGTTTTAATAAAACAAAATTGTGTTTAATGTGTTGTGCACAGAATGAAGTGTTATACTGCCACCAACATTAACCCATCCCATCTTGTTCAAGGTTGTAGGTAAAAAAAAAAAAGAAAAGAAAAGGCGGTAACAATATACTATTGGGTAACGTAGTGGAAAGAGGAAACATCTTTAGTGACTTTTATTCCATTAGGCTTTAAACTTCAAGTATTAGAAGAATACCATTTCCATAGTGTATATTTTTAATCTTTAGGCATCTAGATCATTATGATAATGATAATGAAGATTATATAGGAATATAATCAAAAGCCATACATTTCTTGAGTCCTAAATGACTACAAAATTTTATCTCACATTGAGAACATGAACATGTGACCTCTCTGGACTGTAAAACACATATGTACTTTTAGTTTTTATTTACATGGAGTCAAATGTAGAAGTATGTCGCTCTAAAGATAAACTTTAGTTCTAAGAGGATTATGGAGAAAGTAATTGTGTTTAAGTGGGTGTGTACCTGTTTTGAGAAGAAAAGAAATATAGTGGAACAAAACATAATTTCAAAAGTGTTCATAATTTACTAGCAAAGGAGAAACCTCAAAGATTCTGTTAAGTAATTGTATTTTCTCTGCTTTCTATTGAATTTCTCTAAAATTTTATGGCTCCTCATTCAAAATATCCCCATAAAAATCCTCTAGTTTTAATGGTTCTTACTCATGTTAGAACTAATAAATAATTTTCTTCCAATATTCATAAAGTATTCTTTATATTACCTCAGGGATTATAAGAATGATTTTTATGAAACTTAATGGTGCTTACAAAGCACCATTTGAAGACATGAGTAATTCCATAGTCAGTGTATCAAGTTAATTTGTACAATGCATTATTTTCTCATTTGGAGAATCCTATTTGAGCTATTTTTTCTTTATTATTTGTTTTACTTTTTATAATTGACATAACTCATTCGGTTGACTTTATTGGGTCAATTTGTTTAGGTAAAACTGGGAGGCTTCATAATATTTTGACATTTATATAAAGCGGACAAACGCAGTACAGCACTAGGTTTGTAACAGCTACTCCATAATTAGCAGTAAGTATTTCTGTTGGAGTGAGTTTGTGGCTTCATGTAAGAGAGGTAAAATAGCCATACATAGAAATGGCACTGATTCTTCATGTGGAAAGACAACACCTGTTCCTAGGCTGCACAGTCGACTCTGTCTGAATTTAGAAAGAGGAATTCTGCTTCTTTCATTTCCTAACTATCTCCAGATATTTGGTATCTCTTTATGTTCATCTCCTGCTACACATGCATCTCAATCCTCTTTCCTGTGTTACGGCCAATAGCTTTCGTGGTCTTCCCACCTCATGTCATTTCCACAGTACATTTTAGGTTTTGATGAGAAGTTTGGGTATCTTTTTAATGTGGTGAAAATTTATTTTTGTGTGGAGAGTTTGAGAGCATTTATAGGGTATAAATGAAACATTCCGATCACTTAATTTATAAAAGAAGGATGCAGTATGCATGGACAAGAGAGTTAAATTAGGCAGTTAGCATTGTTTGTCTTTGCTTGTAAAAGGAAAATGTTACTAGGTCCTAACCGAAAGTGCGGTAAATATTAAATTAGTTAGACTAGGCAAAGCATTAATAACAGTGGGCCTTTGAGTGTGCATGTTAAGTATTAGATAGTAATAGAATGATGCCTATGGATTTAAAATTTGATCTTTCTTTTCCAGAAATTGCAGTCTTGGGGAATTTTTCACTCATATTATCATATCTTTATTTTAATGGGAGCAGTTCACAGTCTACTGTTTTCATTCTTAGTCACCTACCTGTAGCCAACTCCTTGTTACTCTGTCTAGAAAAATCTCAAACATCGTGGCAGGTTTTGGATTGAAACGGAATTTTTTCATCTTCCCCGGATGAAAGCCTGCATGCAGTAGACATTAAGTCTCTAGTCCCCTTTACCCTGGGCCCTGGCAACCACTCTTCTATTCTGGTGATTGCTGCAAATTAACGTGACTATACTTAATGTCACTGAACACTACACTTAAAAATGATTAAACTTCACATTTCTGCAGGGGTAAAAGGTAAAGAGATTAAATATGAATAAATAAAATTTTAAAAAACAATACTAAATTTAAAAAACGATTAAAACACCAAACTTTAGGTTATATTTTATCACAATAAAAGTTTATTTTTAACCAACTATTAACTGCAGTTCTAGTCCATAATCACAGTTAAGACTGATGAACACATCCATTTTTCCCTAATTTTTAAGTGATCAAGTGAAATGAGAAAATACAATCTTTTAAAGAGTTTGAAAATGATGTTTTTCAGCTAGAAACAATTTTATATTAGCACATACTACAGTAGAATCACGGGCATAAATATATATAAACAAAAGGTATATGATATTAAAATCTGTGCTCCTTTTTTGGGGTGGGAGCACAGATTAGTTTTATTTTCTCCTTTATAATTTCCAGGGTTTTCCAAAATTTTACAAAAAAGTATCGAAAATTTTATAATCCCTCCCCATTCTATTTTTTAAAAGAAAGTAATTGGAGGGCAGAGAAATGCCCAGCTCTGTACTGAGATCCATCAAACAACGCCAACCAGTAGCCGTCACGCCAGAGGCCCCATGCTGGAGGAAGCCATGAAGCTTATAAACTCCAAGCCTAGTGCCCATGGCTGCCTAGGCAGCCTCACCCTCCTCCTGCCCCTTTGCTGCCACCATACTCTGCTTTTTTTTTTTTTTTTTTTTTTTTTTGAGACAGAGTCTCACTGTGTTGCCGGGGCTAGAGTGCCGTGGCGTCATCCTAGCTCACAGCAACCTCAAACTCCTGGGCTCAAGTGATCCCCCTGCCTCAGCCTCCCCAGTAGCTGGGACTACAGGCATGCGCCACCATGCCCAGCTAATTTTTTCTATATATTTTTAGTTGTCTGATTAATTTCTTTCTATTTTTAGTAGAGACGGGGTCTCGCTCTTGCTCAGGCTGGTTTCGAATTCCTGAGCTCAAACAATCCGCCCGCCTCGGCCTCCCAGAGTGCTAGGATTACAGGCGTGAGCCACCACGCCCGGCCCATATTCTGCTCTTGAAATGTTCTTGAAATGTCCTTCTCCCATCACACTTCCAAATCAGACTGACTTCGTGTTTCAAAGCCCTACCTCTCCCTATTGGGACAGCCCTCTGTCTCCCCTCTCTGACCATCGTGTCACTTTACTTGGACCTGTTTTATAATCTTTATCATCTGCTGCCTTGTCCTGGAGTCATTTTCACCCAAGGCTGTCTCTCCTGCTGGACTGAGGCCTCCGCATGGGCAGGGCCTGCATATTATTTACTGTTGTGTTCTGTGCTCCCCATTTTTATTCCTTGTGTATCTTTCTGTTGACTCGTTTCAGTGTATCCCACTAACTCCTGAATGCTTTCTCCCATCCACTCCCACAGCTGTCACTACACCTGCTGGAGTAGCACAGCTTAGGATCAAACCTCATCATTGAGCAAATACACTTTTCAGGTTTTGCCAACAGTGACATTACCAATGTAAAAGAGAAAGTTTTTGAGCATCAGTTCTTCCCTCTGTAAATACACTCCATGTAGGCATAGAATTAAAATTTAAAAACAAAGAAACAAAAGTAGCAGGATTTGACACCAGAGAAGATTTGAACTGAGAGAGGGAGGAGTCCAGAAAAGAATCTCTCTTGGTGGTTAGGGTCAAGGCTA